TCCTCATGCCTCCTCCTCCTCCTCCTCCTCATCCCTCTCCCCCTACCCCTCCCCCTCCCCCTCCTCCTCCTCCTCCTCCTCCTCCTCCTCCTCCTCCTCCTCCTCCTCCTCCTCCCCCCTCGGGGGAGAAGGGTGCTGATGCTGCTGCCCTGGCCTGGTGTTCGCTGGTGCGATCCTCCTGAAAGGCCCTCGTCGCCACCGCTGGGTTCGCCTCGAAACTCTGGTCTTTCCAGCCCGCGGCCCCAGACTAGGCACGCCCGGAGTGGGTACGGAAAAAAATGGGCACGATGCCCAGCAACAGATGCTGTCCAGAACAGGCAGCGGCCGCTGTTGGGCAGGCGGCTTTCTGTTTCAAGTGAGCGCCGGCAGAAGAAGACAGATCGCCGTCGGAGACTGCTGCTCCGAGCAAAACGTTGGGTGACGCGCTGTACTCGCCGCTGTGCGGACCGAGACGCCGCCATGCAAACCAGGAACACCTCACGAGCCGGCCTGCGACCGGCAGGCCCGATCCCCCTCCTCTTCCTCCTCCTCCTCCTCCTCTTCCTCTTCCTCTCCTCCTCCTCCTCCCTCCTCCTCCTCCTCCTCCTCCTCCTCCTCCTCCTCCTCCTCCTCCTCCTCCTCCTCCCCCCTCGGGTCTTGCCCCCGGCGCGCGCGGCGCGGCCCCCGCCGCGCGGCGGGCCCCTCCGCGAACGGCATGAGGCTCTTGGTGCGCGCCTTGGTCTCCGCGCCGCTCTCCAGGACCATGGCGATCTCCGCGCCTAAACCGCGGGCTGGCCGCACGCCCTCCCCCTGCCTGCCCAGAGGCTGCCCCACCTCCTCCCCGGCCGCCCTGCCTCCTCGCTCCGCCTGTCCTCCTCCCAGCTCCCTCCTCTCCCTCCTCTCCTCCCTCCTGCCTCTCCCCCGTCCCTCCCGCATCCCTCCATCCTCACGCCCCCTCCCTCCTCCCTCCTCCCCCCTTCCCTCCTCCCCCGCCGCCCCGATGGGACCCAGATGAGGAAGAGGAGGTTCGCCGCGGTGCTGGCCCAGTTGAGAGATGTAACCAGGCAGTCAATTTCTGGCGCAAGCTCGAAGGGATCGGGGGTCCCACTACAATCTGCCTCGGGAAAAGCTCAAGGCGGCGAAGGTCGCCGCCCTTGCCCAATACGCCAGGTCAGCAAACCCAGAGCCTCACGGACCAGCTCAACGTACACAGTGACCGCCTCGTAGGCAGGCAGAAGGACGCGCTCCCGTACAGTCGGGGCCTTGACCTAAGGAACCCTAAATAAGGAACGAGGCCCCTTTTTTCCATAAGTTAAACTTCGATTTCCTATCGAAAACATAAGGGAAACCTGAGGCAAACTGCGAAACACTTAAGGAACGCCGAGCCCCTCCCCAACGAAAAGGGTTCCTTCTTCAGGGCCCCGACTGTACCTCGAGCGCCTCGACGCGACCACCGCCGAGCACGACGCAGTGGCCCTGGAGTGCGAGGATATCCGGGAAGAGGCCCAGCAGCGCGAGAGCCAGCTCGAGGCCGCAGCGAGGGCAGCGGCCATCCGGGCGGTGGGCAAAGACGAGCACGTCGAGTCCTCTTCAACCCTCGAAGAAGGCTTCGTCGAGCGGAAGCTTCCCAAGTTGGGCGCCCGAATTATCCGGGGTAACTCGGGTACGGGGTAACTCGGGCTTGGACCCCCGAAAAAGGAACCCGAGTTGGCCCTGGCCCGAGTTACCCCTGATGATGTGGGGCTCTGAGCGCCCGAGTTATCCGGGGTAACTCGGGTCCGGGGTAACTCGGGCTTGGATCCCCGAAAAAGGAACCCGAGTTGGCCCTGGCCCGAGTTACCCCTGATGATGTGGGGCTCTGAGCGCCCGAGTTATCCGGGGTAACTCGGGTCTGGGGTAACTCGGGCTTGGATCCCCGAAAAAGGAACCCGAGTTGGCCCTGGCCCGAGTTACCCCTGATGATGTGGGGCTCTGACCAAGGGCGCCCAGCTCGGCCACCGATCCCGGGCCGAGGTCGACGCCGTGGCCGAGAAGCTCGGCGGGGAGTGCAGCCTCCACCGACCCCGCAAGCCCCGCCCGCGCCAGTACAGCCGCCACCTTGGCCGACCGCAGATGGAGCTGAAGGCCAACCACCGCCGGCAAGACCGGAGGTGAAGGACGACCTCGAGGGCACGGAGGAGGAGAAGCCCCACACGTGCCAATACAGCCGCCACCTCGGCCGACCGCAGATGGAGCTGAAGGCCAGCCACCGCCGGCAAGGCCGGAGGTGAAGGACGACCTCGAGGGCACGGAGGAGGAGGAGGAGATCACGTCGGGTCCTTCTCAACCCTCGAAGGCTTTATCGAGTGGAAGCTTCCCAAGGTACGAGGCCGATGTGGCATCACAGCAGCAATTCGGCCCCTGACTTTCGTCCTGGGTGCGGTTTAGTGAGGTGATGAATTTCGGGGCTCTTACGTAGGAAAAAACATCACTTCACTAATCTGGGGCCCCCGGGGGCCTCAGTGGGCCCTGGGGCCCAAAATTAGTGAAGTGGTGGTTTTCGGGCCTCGGACAAGGGCGCCCAGCTCAGCCCCCGATCCCGGGCCGAGGTCGACGCCGCCTCGGTGGGGAGTGCAGCCTCCACCGACCCCACGAGCCCCACCCGTGCCGGTGCAGCCGCCACCTCGGCCCACCGCAAGTGGAACTGAAGGCCAACCGCCGCCGGCAAGGCCAGAGGTGAAGGGCGACCTCGAGGGCACGGAGGGGGAGAGCCGGGAGCAGAAGACCGCCAAGAGCGGCCAGGCGTACCGTGCAGGCCCTCGACCATGGCCGCCAACCTCGGCACCGACGGCGCCATCGGATAAGCAGCCGCCGATGTACACCCTGCGAAATGCTTAAGAAATCATGGGTTCAGAAATTCATAGTCTCAGAACTTGAATAAAAACCCAACATTTCTACTAAAATCTTAAGATTCACATTGAAACGTTAAGAATAATCGAGACTCTGGCCGAAAACTTACGTTTTCTTAAGCATCGCCGAAGGTGTACAGCGTCGCCTGCGCCAGCGCGCAGCCTCAGGCGCAGCAGCATCGCCATCTCCGGCTTCGTCGGCAGATGCGGCGTCTGCTGGGTCGGGGGGTTGGGGATCATTCGCATCGCTGCCGTCAACGGGAGCTGTTGGGAGAGCGTCCAGACTCTTGTCAGGTCCGATTTGGATGCAAGGCAGTTTTACGCTGTGCGTCGCCGAGAAATCAAACTCCTGGGGACTTCAGTTTTGGATGCTATTCAATTCTGCTTGAAACAGGGGCGGCTGTTTGTTTCACGGAGGCTCAGAAGCGACGGTGGTGCACAAATGCAAAGAACCAACTTCCTGGTCCGAAAAGGCCTCGAGTACGGAATTGCCTGAAGTTGAAGTACCATCTCCCACGCCAGAAGGAAGAATTGCCGCTGTAGCTGTCGAGGTGCGCCAGGACACGCCCCCTTCCTCTTGTGCTCAGTATACCTCGCCGACAAGGTCGGCCTCAATGAGTTTAACCTCAACTTGCTCGCCAGCCTCGCGCAGGTGGGACAAGCCAACCGAATCCCAATGATCGTCGCTGGAGATTTCAACCCTTCTCCCGCCAAGTTTTTGAAGAGTACCTACTGCGTGAGGGCTGGGCTGAGAGTGCTTTCTTCGGATATCCCTAACCTCTACACCGCGAAGCAAAGTCGATGATCGATTACTCATTCGTCTCACATTGTTTCCAGAATTACCATGGGCTCGTCTATTTGATCTAGCCGTCGACTCGCCCTACCTGATGCCTGTCCTTCGAGCGCCTTGTCTCATTCGCGGCCATAGCGGGCGTTATGGGGAGGGGGATTGGAGGGGGCATAACATAGCGCCCCCCCCACTGTAGTGCTGGACGCACTTCGGCAGTGCCGGGGATGCACTCAGGACGGGAGCGCTACGCTGTGGGTGAGGGGGAGGGAGGGGAGGATAATTAGGGGGCATCACGCGCGTTATAGCTCAGAGGGTGCAGAAACCCTCTCGGATCAAGCCGCGGGAGGCCCGCCAGGCCCGCCAGGTCCGCCGGATCCGCTGGGTTCGCCGATGTTCGCCGGGCCCTCCGAGCTCGCCGGGTCCGCAGGGCCTGCTGGGCTCGCCGGGAGGGATCTTCGGGGTGGCGAGAGGTTTTCTTGATGCTTTCGGCGGTCTTCGGCTTGAAGACTTGCGGGCAAAGGGGTAAGGAGAAGAAGGGAGTCAGGGGGAGGCCGAGGAGGGAGAGGGAGGAGGAAGAGAGAGGAGCAGGAATGGAAGAGAGGTGGATAGGGGTGGCCCGGCCTCTTTGAGGGCTGGTGGACGTGGACATCCCGCGGACGTCGGCGAAACAGTCGATGTAGAAGCAGCTGCTGTCGGGATCGCGCGTTGCCTGGAGCTCATTCCCGAGAGGCGGGGCGGGATGGCCTCCTGCTCTGCATCCTCCCTCCTGCTCATCCCTCAACGCGCCTCTCTTGTAGCCGGAGCGGTGGAGGGCGGACCATTCACACAGCAGGGTCACGCCTGAGTGGCACGCCCGCCGGGCGATCGCCCTTCAAATGCGGGGCGCTTCCCGCAGCGTGGAGGAATACCCGTAGGGACTTACGACGAGCGTGCACTGCAAAATCGTGGACGAGCCCTGGATTTCCTCCAGTCCCTCCTTCTCCTCCTCCGTTTCTCTGTCTCTCTGTCTTTGTCCCTCCACCTCTACCTCTGTCTCCGGAGCCAGCGAGCGCTGGCTCTGACCACCGTCAGGCAGCGAGCGACCGGTGGCCAGAGTGTGCAGCCGAGCGCAGGCTGCAAAGCGTCGGCGGGCCAGAGATGGCGCGCGGGGCCTCCGAGCGGTCCGTGCGGCGGTGGCCCCGCGCGCGGATAACCCTGCGCGCGGGGCCGGGGCGCCAGGGCTGGGCGGCTTGAGTCGACCCTTAGCCACACACACACACACACATCCAGTCCTCAACCCCTGCTGCCCCTGGACGCCCCCGAGAAGATCGGGGCGCGCTCCAGGGAGAGGTCCAGGGATCGACAGGGGAAAACAGGCACAGTCGATGCATATGCGGTCAGGAGTCCCGCTGCAACCAATCCGGGGCGCGTCTGCCGACGATGCCGTGAGCTCCCCGCAGGTGCCCCGAGGCCTCGACGGGACCCCCGGGCCCATCGGGGGAGGAGAAGCCTCCGTGGGGCACGCGTTGGCAGGCTCGTCTCTTACTGCGCAGGCCAGTTCTCAAGAAACCTTCCACAAGAGGCCCAACCCTGAGACCCCAGGAGACGTCCATTGATTTTTGATGCGTGTGGGAGCGTCACGCTTTCCATAGCGAAACCATCGAAACCCCAGCAACCCGGGGCACCCTGGAGGCGGGCAGGGTGCTTCTTGGCATGGGCCTCCACTGTAGGGATCGAGAGGGAAAAAAGGCACAGTCGATGCATGCGGTACAAGGAGTCCCGCTGCAGCACATCCGGGGCGCGTCTGCCGACGATGTCGTGAGCTCCCGCAAGTGCCCCAAGGCCTCTGCGGATCCCCCGGGCCCATCGGGGGACGAGACGCCTCCGCGGGGCACCCGTTGGCAGCGCTCGTCTCTCATGTGAGGCACCTACTGCAGGGGCGGACTGGGATGTGCAAGCCAAGTCTTCTTGTCGTCAGGGGTAACCTTCAACAGGGAGCGTCGCCCCTCTCTGGCCCTGCCACGGCCAGGGCCACGGGGATCGCCCGAGGAGAGCACCCAGGGACCGGGCTGAGGAACGCTGAGAAATCCCGAGCCCCTTCGAAACCACGGTGGGATTCACTCCAGCCTTTTGAATGCCAGGGTGGTGAGGTTGGGGGGGGGACGGCGATGGATGGGAGACGGAGGGTAGCGGTGTTGTTAAGGGCCCCCTCCCTTAGATGTCAGTCGCCACGCCCCCATTGATGCGAGAATTTCGGCGCAACTGCAGATCGCCACCGTGAGGATGTGACAGCCGCCAAGCTCGTGACGGCGTCGCCAAGACTGGAACGCTCGATGAGCGGAAAGACACGTTGCGACGGCTGTTCGTCGCATTGAAGGGGGATCGGAGGGAGCAGGGGCATTCGAACAAGGCGACGCGGGTCGGCACGCATGTGCGTGTGCACGGATGCAGGATTCAAGTGCGCACGCTCCCGCGCCACATGTGGAACGCCGACCCCACGTTCGCATACGCACGCATGGATACGCACACGGTATTTCCGTCGACGCGTGGCCGAGCCCAAACCATTGGTGCAAAGTAACGTAGCTCGTATACCTCGAACTGGCTTCCTTCTGGAGCAGTGCGGAATCAAGGACCTGACACGGATACGCATGCGCACAGTGCGCACACAGACGGCCCAGCTGTCCCGCCTCGCTGCCGCCTCCTCCCTCCTTTACCTCATCCCTCGGCGCGTGGTCGCCCGCAGCTGTCTCAAGGATATCAAGCTGCTCTTCGCCTCCTGGGAAATGTGGACGGCATTCTCCTGGGCGCGTGCCGGGAACACAAGACGTACAAGCGACAAGAAACACCAACCTGATACAGCCAAAAGCACACCCTCGAGCCGACGTGCAGCGGCATGACGAGATCGTCGCCTGGCGGTGGGGGATACAGTCCCTGGCGTCCCGGATGACCACACACAAACGTGAAAGACTTGGGAGGACACACGTGGCGAACAATACTGAAGGCGCAGACGCCTGCCCGCATGTTGTGTTGCTAGTGTGTCTTGATGGTTGGGGGTATTCCAGCTTGGATCATCTCGCCAAGTGTTCCTCCTCCTCCCCGTCCAACTTCTCAGCTTGTCATTCACGCCCACTGTTTCGCATTCGTGCATCACTGCATGACGATATGTTGGTGCGTGCTGTATTCATTACGCCTAGAAGTATGCATATCACAGATGTGGCATGCACACAATCATCTACGTTATCGTTTATACAGGTACCGATACGACCACCCTTCGTTGGGCGGGGAGAGGGGAGGCGGTCGATGCGCGATCACTCCCACCTGCCGCCACCAAAGAATGCGCGGGCAAATAAATACCACCTGCTTCCGCTTGCCTCTATCTAACTCAGATCTAGATATGTGTATATATTTCCATGTTTTTACGGATCCAACATTGTATCGCTCTATGTCGCTATAGTTATATCGATCGATCTCTTTATCGGCATATATTTACATATGTATATATTTATCGACCTGTATACAGAAATGAATGATAGAGGCCTTCTGTCGACATATATATATATATATATATATATGTATCAACCCCTCTATCGGGTCAACCATCGGTACATCCATCGGGACAACAATCGGGACAACCGTCGGGACAACCATCGGGACAACCATCCGGAAAACCATCGGGACAACCATCGGGGCAACCATCAAGACAACCATCGGGCAAACCATCGGGACAACCATCGGGACCACCATCGGGAAAACCATCGGGACAACCATCAGGACAACCATCGGGACAACCATCGGGACAACCGTCGGGGCAACCATCGGGACAACCATCGGGAAAACCATCGGGACAACCATCGGGACAACCATCGGGGCAACCATCGGGGCAACTATCGGGGCAACCATCGGGGCAACCATCGGGACAACCACCGGGACAACCGTCGGGACAACCATCGGGGCAACTATCGGGAAACCAATCGGGGCAACCATCGGACAACCATCGGGACAACCGTCGGGACAACCATCGGGACAACTATCGGGAAACCAATCGGGGCAACCATCGGGACAACCATCGGGACAACCGTCGGGACAACCATCGGGAAAACCATCGGAAAAATCAATGGGAAAACCATCGGGACAACCATCCGGACAACCATCGGGACAACCATCGGGACAACCATCGGGACAACCATCGGGACAACCATCGGGGCAACCATCGGGACAACCATCAGGTCAACCATCGGGACAACCATCGGGCCAGCCATCGGGGCAACTTTCGGGAAACCAATCGGGGCAACCATCGGGACAACCATCGGGACAACCGTCGGGACAACCGTGGGGAAAACAATCGGGAAAACCATCGGGAAAACCATCGGGACAACCATCGGGGCAACCATCGGGACAACCACCGGGGCAACCATCGGGACAACCATCGGGACAACCATCGGGGCAACCATCGGGACAACCATCAGGTCAACCATCGGGACAACCGTCGGGACAACCATCGGGAAAACCATCGGGAAACCCATCGGGACAACCATCGGGACAACCATGGGGTCAACCACTATCCATCGGGGCGACCATCGGGACAACCATCGGGACAACCGTGGGGAAAACAATCGGGACAACCATCGGGACAACCGTCGGGACAACCGTCGGGGCAACCGTCGGGACAACCATCGGGAAAACCATCGGGGGAACCATCGGGACAACCGTCGGGGCAACCATCGGGACAACCGCGGGACAACCACGTGACACGCGCCCGCCCGGGGGTGGCGGCCCCTGGGGCTCCACTCGGCCTCTAACAATGCAGAAATTCACGCAGCTTCGCCTCGACTGCGCGCACGGCGCGAACCGAAACCGAAACCGGTATTCTCGGTCGGGGCCACTTCCGATCACGCCCCCAACCTCCGATCTATCTTTCTCTGTATCCACGCTCAGGAATCCACCATCGGAACACCATCGGGCCAGCCATCGGGACAACCATCGGGACAACCATCGGGACAACCATCGGGACAACCACCGGGACAACCGTCAGGACAACCATCGGGACAACCATCGGGAAAACCATCGGGAAAACCATCGGGCAAACCATTGGGACAACCATCGGGACAACCATCGCGACAACCACTGGGACAACCAACGGGACAACCATCGGGACAACCATCGGGGCAAGCGTGGGGACAATCATCGGGGCAACCATCGGGGCAACCATCGGGACCACCATCGAGGCAACCATCGGGGCACCATCGGACAACCATCGGGACAATCATCGGGGCAACAAATGGACACCGATCGGGGCACCAATCGGGGCAACCATCGGGACAACCCCATCGGGGCAACACCATCGGAACCACCATCGGGACAACCGTCGGATTCGTTGGGCACCCCGCTCGCCCGTAGCTGGGTTGCGCAAGCAACCGCAGCGTTGGGCGCGCGCCGAATCCTGCGCCGCGCCGCGTGGCGCGGGCGCCGCGCCGAGAGGGCGCAGGCGCCACGGGGGGCCTCGGCGCTGGTCGCAGCACGACCCAACGACGGGCGAGAAACGGGGGGGGCTCGGGCGGGTCAAATCCCGAGCGCGGGGTGCGGGCCCCAGGTGCTGGATGCACAGACGTGGCTGCGCGCCGTCGCGACGGGCAACTGCCCCGCGCGACCCGCGCGCGGACCTGTGCCCATCGCCTGCGGCGCGCCGCGACGCGCGCAAGCCGAGCGGCGGCGCGGCGACTGCACGCGCCTGCGTCCGCCGCGCTTCCCCGGGGCCAGCGAATGCGCGCGATGGAACACAGGGCCGAATCCGTTCCATGCGCGCAAATTCGCTGAGCACCCCGCTCATCCGCGGCTGGGTTGCGCAAGCAACCGCAGCGTTGGGCGCGCGCCGAAGCCTGCGCCACGCCAAGCGGCGCGGGCGCCGCGCCGAGTGGGCGCAGGCGCCACGGGAGGCCTCGGCGCTGGTCGCAGCACGACTCAATGACACGATGCGACTAGCGCCGCGCGCCGCCCGCCCGTTGCGCACGCGGCGCGCGGCGCTCGGGCGCGCTCCGAGAAGAAAGCGCGGCTCTATGAACCAGAGCTGCTGTCCGAGCTGCCCGAGCTGTCGGACGCAGAATGCGCGCGCGACCGCTGTCCTCTCGCTCTCAACCCGACAGCGGTCGATGTAGGCGATATATATATATATATATATAGGCGTCAGACGCCCAGTGTCCTCGTTCCTTTGTTGCGGCAATCGGCGCACCCGCGCGATCGATGTCGTCGTCGTGCCCCCTCGTCCGCGCGAGACGGGCACAGGGGTGGGCGCGCCGCGCCGCGCGGGCGGTCGCGGGTCGCAACCTTCGCATGTCGCGCGTGCCGAACAGGCGGGCACCGTCCACCCCTATTCTGGACAATAGGGACCGGAGGATACGCCTGACATCCGACCCTGAGAACTGCGCGAACGGGTGAGCGCCGACGGCTGCATCGCGCAGCAACTGCGGCAGCGCGTGCACTGCGCACGTCGCGGCGCGCGCGCGGCACCGGCACCGCCGGCGGAGTAGCGACGCACGCGCCTTATTCTTCCGCCGGGGCAATCAGGAATGCCTCGTCGGCCGAGATGGCCAGCTCCGCCTAGCACGCTCGACGCGCACGCGGGTACCCTTGCGCAGGCGCGCTGCGATGCAGCGTGGCCCGTCATGCTGCCGCGCGACAGCGTGTTGCCGCACCGCGGGGTCGGCAGACACTCGGACGGTAAGAGAAACAGAAAGATGTACGTAACGAGTAAAATGGTGGATGCCACCTGCGTGACCACTGGGTTGGCCAGCGAATGCCGCGCGGCGGCCGCGCCTTTTCCCTCTCGCTGCGATCGGAAAGGCCCAACACTTGCGCGATCATACTGTCGCGAACGAATCGCGATTCGCGCGGCGTGTGCCCGCCGCGCCGCACGATGGCTGCCTTCGCCTCTCTGGGCGCGCGACGAGCGAACGCGCGGGCGCGGTGGCGCGGGCAGCCGACGCCTGAGCAGCCGTCTGTTGCCGAAAACGCTCGTGTCCAGACGCAGCACTTCGCGCGCTGTCTGAACGCGCCCACAATAATTCCGGAACGTGCCCGCGCAAGAGTTCCGCAATCATCCCGGGCGCGCGCCGCTGTCTTGCGAGACCGCGGGCCGCGCACAGGGGCCGCGCACGCGGGCCGCGTAGAGGCGCACCTCGCTGGGCGACAGCGCGAGCTGCCGTTCTCGTCCGAGCACGTCCATTGCGAAGTGGAGCCAACATCGCACTCCGCTCTTCAGGGACTGGCGGGTGGACGGCAACGCGCTGGCCAGGACTTCTCATCGGGCCTGTTCCGCCCATTCGCGCCGCTCCCCCTGCGACGGCATGGAGCACCTAATCCTCTGCGCATTGCGACGCGGTCCCCCTGGCGCGGGCGGCGAAGGCGGTCCTGGCCGCGCCAAGCCGTTTCGAGTACAAGCGCTGGGGCCAGCAGGCGCGCTGGAGATCGACTCCTCGCTTCCCCGTTACACGCGAGAGAAGGTCCCGCGGCGCACAAACGAACGAGCTCCGCCAGGAGCGGTGCTGGTAGGAGATGCAGATCCGCGATGCCCTGCAGCTGAGCCCCGACGAGATCCTGGTGCGTCTCGAACCCCTGCTCTGCCAGTACACAGGCCGCGCGCGCGATGTCGCGGTCTGCGCCTGCGAGACGCTGCGCGCGCGCTCGAGCGGGCTCGCCAGCCGAGCCACCTGTTATCCCGCACTGTCGCAGATCTCGGGCGAGGCGAGCCGATGCAACATCACCTGTGCGGCGAAGACGCCGACCCGCACTCGCGCGCGTCGCGTG